CCACGCTGCAAACAGGACCACGCTGCAAACAGGACCACGCTGCAAACAGGACCACGCTGCTAACGGGACCATGCCGCTAATGGGACCATGCTGCTGAAAACCTCACTGCTAACATTACCATGCTGCTGGTGGTGCCACACTGTAAACAGGACCACGCTGCTAATGGGAAGACGCCGCTAATGGGACCACACTGCTAGCGGGACCACACCGCTAGCGGGACCACGCCGCTAATGGGACCATGCTGCTGAAAACCTCACTGCTAACATTACCATGCTGCTGGTGGTGCCACACTGTAAACAGGACCACACTGCAAACAGGACCACGCTGCAAACAGGACCACGCTACAAACAGTACCATGCCGCTAACGGGACCACGCTGCTAACGGGACCGTGCTGCTAATGGGACCATTCCAACCTCACTGCTAACAGGACCACGCTGTTAACTGTAACAGTGTTTTTATAACCGTTTTTTATTTTAATTGCTTTTTATTGTTTATATGTTTGTTTAAAATGGGTCTCTCTTGTAAATGAGTCCTGGTGACTCAGCGAGACTAACCCGTACAAATCAAGGTTGAATAAATAAATAAATGTTGTGAATCCTTTGGCAGGTGTACATGTGGGGTCATTGTCGGGGCCAGCCCGTCGCCCTGCCCCACCTGACGCACTTCAGCACCACCGACGACGTCTTCGCCTGCTTCGCCACGCCCTCTGTGATGTGGCGCCTCCTGTCCGTGGGTATGACCACAGCAAAGTTTCCCAGGGATTTTGGTTTTACTGATATTTTGTCGTCCAAGCGGCGGAGGGACGAGCGGTGAAGCGTCTCATTTTATTTCAGAGCACGATGACTTCGTGACGGTGTCCAGGGCTCTCAGGAAGGAGTTCGACAGCCCAGATACGGCGGATTTGACATTCAGCGTCGATGGAAAATGCATTCACGTTCACAAAGCCGTGCTGAAAATAAGGCATGCTTTGATTATTTTTATGAACGTGTTGCTTTTATAGGACGCACAAACGTTTCTAATTTATTATAAAATACATAAATTTATCCAAAAACTGAAATAAACATTTAAGCGTTCCAAACGATAAACGGTCTAACTTGAATGAAACACCCTTTCCTTACATTCGTGTGAGCAGGTGCGAGCACTTTCGCTCGATGTTCCGCTCCCAGTGGAGCGAGGATCAGCAGACCGTGATCGAGATCGTCCAGTTCTCGTACCCCGTCTACAGATCCTTCCTGCAGTTCCTCTACACCGACGCCGTCGACCTGCCGCCCGAGGACGCCATTGGTACGTTTGCCCACAGGTATGCGTTTCCGTGACTGACGGGCGTGATTTTAATGAATTGATCTTTTCTGTTTGCTGCAGGCTTGTTGGATCTGGCCACGTCTTACTGTGAGACCCGCCTGAAGCGTCTGTGTCAGCAGATCATCAAGAGGGGCATCACCGTAGAAAACGCCTTCACCTTGCTGTCCGCAGCCATACGATACGATGCAGAGGTGCCCTACTTAATGTCTTTAATGTTTATAGGAATTAGGGATGCACGATATTATCGGTATCGGCTGTTAGCATTGAAGTTGAATATCGGACATCGGCCATTCCATCAAAATAACGCACCGATATAAAAAGCGCTGTTTTTGTATGACAGCCCAGCGACAAGGATGCCTGCAGCGGCAGCGCAACGTGATGACGTCATGCGCGGCGGAGAGGAAGAAGTCAAAATGTCGGCGGTGTGGAAGGTTTTTTTTTTTTCCGTTGATGTCGTATTCCGAAGAATTTTGGACTACGTTGAGCCTCGCTACATCGTCCCCAGTCTGAGATATTTTTCCGACGTAGTCTTACCCGCGTTACAAGCCGTCATTTCCGACGTCATTGAGAAGCTAATAGCGCATAGCACTTGGGTGAGTTTTGTCGTGTTAGCCCCGTTAGCATGATTAGTCTCACGGCACAATGGATAGACACAAACTTTGATCTTAAAAAAGGCACAGGAGTGCAGAGGATCTCACACTGCAGCTAGGAACCTGGAACAAGCCTCCACAAGTGACTAATGCTAATAAATAACATTTAACACTTTTCATTTAATATAAGTTAAAGTGCTATGCATATCAAATGACTGTTACTGAATATATGTCACCAGCTCTTACAGCTGTTACACAGTTTTTGTAGCAAATAAGCCAAAATAAGAGGGTTAAGTTCTGACAAAGGCAAGTATATAAAAATATTGGTTATCAGCCAAATAAGTTTTAACATATTGGCATATCAGATCGGCTAAAAATCCAATATCGTTAACTCACCGGCAACAGACACAGTTCATGCCCGCGGCAACGGTTAACTTATGGAGCGAATGAAGCTTTTCTGAAGCTTGTTTCGATGAGGGGTTCGCCACTCGCTCTTCAACAACGTCCTCTTTGGCGCCATCTTTTGGCCACAAGTATGAACGGCAGCTTGAAACCACCCTGTTGTTTCAGCTGTTCTTTGATATCCCGACTGCTTTGAACTTTCGCTTTTTGTGGGTAAAAGATTAAAGTTAAGGTTATTTGACAAAATCAATCACGATAAGAGTTTGTTTACTACAAGCTCGTGTTATAATTGCGGTGGTTTTCTAAAGTCTTTATACTTTCTTGGGGGTGAAAGTGCTTTTGATTCGGTAAACAAAGCTCATAAAACATCAGGCTGGCTTCATGTCTCGCTACGCGTCGCTCGCTGTTTTTTTTTGTTTTTTTTTGTGCACCAGAACAAATACGTTCAACGATTTACGTCCTCGTAAACCGTCGAGTCGGGCACCAAAGCGGCGGTGACGTAACTTCAGCACTTTCGAAGCTTTGGATGTCCTTGATCACCTGACGGACCAAGCTCCGACACCGAGCTTCAGCTTCAAACGTCCGTTAGAGCTAACGTTGGTTGTGTCTGAGCAGCATGAGATTATAGAGACACCTGGTGTTCATACGGTGAATTGCACCTGCTTAATTTTAATGTTTTTGCAGCATGAGATTATAGTGACACCTGGTGTTCATACGGTGAACTGCACCTGCTTAATTTTAATGTTTTTGCAGCATGAGATTATAGTGACACCTGGTGTTCATACGGTAAACTTCACTTGCTTTATTATTTATTTTTTTTCTGCAGGACCTTGAGGAGTTCTGCTTTAGGTTTTGTGTGAACCATCTGACTCAGGTGACCCAGACCGCCGCTTTCTGGCAGGTCGACGGAGCTCTGCTGAAGGAGTTCATCGGCAGGGCCAGCCGCTGCGGCGCCTTCAAGAACTGAACCGGACCAGCTGGACTGGGTGGACGGACGCAGCTCGTTTAGTTTGTTTCTTGAGACACCTGACAGGTTGAACTGAACGTTGATCTTCTATCTGTGGTTTGGTTTCAGCACTTTGGCCATTTCCTGTGGAGTCGGATGATTATTTAAACATTTTAGTTTTTCTTGGCCAGTTTTTACCTTCCTCTATGCAGATGATGCAGTCTTTTATTTTTACTGAAAGAGATCTTTTATGTAAAGCGTGGAAAATACCACGGCGCTCAAACTCATCTCCATGATGCGTTTATGTGTTGAACCAGAAAGTTTGTGGATTTAAAAACGTATATTTAAGTTCACAGATTGTTCTGCGGGCCGTTTGACACCTAGTTTGGTGGAGTTTTATCTGATTTGGGACTTTTATTTTAGCTTTCAGTCCAGTTGTTAGATAAAAAATTTAAATAATTTTGCACTGCGGTCTTTCCAAAAAGTTAACACTCGTGGCACTGTTACATCATTTTGTAAATATTTTGTATTTTCTGAAGGTTGGAGCTCCAAATTTAACTTATTATTATTGTTTTTTTGTATTTGTTGATGCGTTATTTCAGTTGTAGTTGTCTGGGCAAAGCCAAAGAAGCTAACGGGTCCGCAGACTTGGAACAAGAAGTATTTAACGTTTTTGTTCGTTTTATTGCCGATTTGGTGAAAATGGAGCAGATTCAAACTTAAGTTTCAGCAGAATGAACACGTTTGTTTACTTTGACTCATCCTGACCAAAGACTTTGGAAATCTTAAGTTTTGCTTTCTGCTCGTCTTATTGGAAAAAGTCGGCGTAAGTTTCTGTTCCTTAGGTTTCTTTTTCTTGGTGCTCTGAATACTGGAGAAACAATCCTTTTAGTTAATTTTATTGTTTTATTACTAATTGGATCCAACGTGTAATAGATTTCCTTACTGTACTGAGGGAGAAATGTATTTTTATGCTTTTAAACAGTTTTTTTGCGCCTTGCTGCTTTTTATAAATAATTTTCAACTTTAAGATATTCATTGCTGTTATTTGATTGTTGTCTTTTTTATATTTAAATTTGATGCTGTTTATGTGAATAAATAAAAACTTTAAACTATATATTTGTTGACGTAAATTAAAATCTTATTTGATTGGGCGTTCAGGCAGTGGGTGGAGAGCTTACTGACGACCCCGCCTATTTAGTGACGTAGGCACTATTTGCGGAAGTAACCCGGAACTGTCAAGCTAATTTAATTTTTTGCAGAAAACTGCAAAATATTTTATTAATCAAAATTTTGGTAACGCACGAGCTGGGTAGTAAATTTTAAAATGTATATATTTACCATAGTGTTACTCTTTTAGCTGCTGTGTTACATTAATTTTGCTAAATTTATATAACATTTTCTAGTAACAGCCGAGCTGAAGCGTTTATTGTGAAAGTACAAACCGGAAGTTGCGCTTCTCCATTTTTAAAACTACGTTTCGAACCGGGTTAATGTTTACTCCCCTTGAACTCTTAATCTATTTCTGGTTATATCGGCGGACGGTACCAAATATATAGATCGGATATTCTTGTGACTGAATGGAAGCGGAGCAGGAATGGATCCGAGCCGAACCGGGTCAGTCCACGTCACGTCGAGAAACGAGAGACAGCAGCAGCCAGACGGACAGCAGGCTCCACGGTGAGCTCCGTTTTAGCTAGTTTGTGCCATAAACCATCAGCTGATGTGACTGATAGCTAAAGGGGTATTTAAAAGTGTACTTTATAAATTTATATTGGCACATACAGATTTAGATTTTGTTACTAGTACAGTTAAATATTTGTTAAAAATGTTGTCATGCACAGAGTATCCATCCCTTGAGATCAACCCTTTAAGCTGTTTACAATCTTTTACAGCTCATTTCTGCTTTTGTTTTGGTTCAACTTCTTTCTGCTTTTTTTTTTTTCCAGATTCTGTTTTGGTTCAGCTGTTTGCAGCTTCTTCTGCTCATTAAGCATTTTTATGATTCAGCTGTTTTCAGCTTATTTCTGCTCATTTCAGTTTTTGTTCTGCTTTAGCTGTTTCAGCTTGTTCTGCTCATTTTAGCTTTTGTTCTGCTTTAGCTGTTTGAAGCTTGTTCTGCTCATTTTAGCTTTTGTTTTGGTTCAGATGTTTTCAGCTTGTTCTGCTCATTTTAGCTTTTGTTCTGCTTTAGCTGTT